ATTAAGTGTGGACATCAGTATTTGTATTACTATTGCCATTAGGATTATGGTTTTATTTGTTCTACCACTTCTATTTCTTTCTATAGTTTTTCTTCTATCCTTCCTTGACATCTTTCAGATTGATTCGTTCTCCTTATTCCTGTTTTGGCGTTCACAAATTTAGAAGTTGTTCATGCTATTTTTCGTCTTCTTGATAGTTACCCCAGAAATGGAAACTGGAAAACCTTTTTTTTGAGACAGGTTCTCATTCTGTCCCCTAGGCTGGAGTTCAGTGGTACAATTATGGCTCACTGCAGCCTCGACCTTCCAGTTTCAAGTGACTCTCCCATCTTAACCCTCTGAGTAACTGGGACTACAGGCATGAGCCACCACTCCTAATTTTTAACTTTTTTGTAGAGATGGGGCCTTGCTATGTTGCCCAGGCTGGTCTTGAACTCCCGGGCTCAAGCAATCTTCCCACCTCAGCCTCCCAAAGTGCTGGAATTGCAGGCATGAAGCATCCTGCCTGGCTAACACTTTCATAAATAAAGCACAAAGCCCATGTCTAAGTCAGTCAATATCTTTACCCTTCTCCTAAACCTTGGGAATTTAAATTAAAGGACCTTATCACACTTTTAATTCCAATCAACTCCTCACCAACATTTATGTGCCATTTTGCTATGTATGTTAATTCTCTTATGCTGTAACTCAATAATTCACAATTATGATTATGTGTACTGTAAGTGTTTATTTAGATTTACCCACATATGACACTCTATCTGGTATCAATTTCCTTCTATTTGTGGTTCATTTTTTCAAATTCCCTTTAATGAGGTTTTGGTGGTGGAAAACCCCACTTTTGTTTATAATAAAGTGTCATTATTTTACTCATTGAAAAGTATTTTTGTTGCTCAGCACATTCTTGATATTATTTCACTAACTCCTGGACTCCATTGTTGGTGGTGAGAAGTCAGCTGTCAATCAGTTGCCACTTTTTGGAAAGTAATTTGTCTTGTCATTCTCTTTTAAAAATCATACCTTTGCACCTGGCCTCCTGAAATTGTATTATGATGTGTCAACTGTGTATTTTGAATGTCATGTGACTTGGAATTTCTTGGGCTTCTTGAATCTGTGGATTTTTATCCTTATGAGTTTTGGGGCATTCTCAGTCATTATTTCTTCAATACTGCATTTTCTCCATTTTCTTTATCTTCTCCTCCAGGAACTCCAATTAGATATATTTGAGTTTCTCACTTTGTCCTCCATGCTTCTGTAAGTTTCTTTCCTATTTTCTGGTCTTTCTGGCCTCTACTTTTAATAACATCTTTAATTCTATCTTTCATTCACTAGTTCTCTCTTAAACTGAGTTTAATCTGCCCTTCAAGCTATTCATTAAATATTTCACTTCAATTATATTTTCAGTCTCAGACGTTCTGCTTGATTTTTTATGATATATTAGCTCTTTACCCATTTTAGTCTTCTTTTCCATTCATTTCTTATAACACATTAAACATAGTCATTTTATAGTCTATGTCTGATAAGTCCAGTATCTGATTCTTTTTCAAGCCTGCCTTTGCTGATTTTGTTTCTCCTAGCTCTCACACATGATGCATTGCTTCCTTGTGCATTCCGTGACTGTCTTTTGTTTTTAAACTCTTTTCCTTGTAGAACTTCCTTCAGGTTTTTGGATAAAAGTGAATTCCTCCAGAAAGGATGTGTTTATGTCTATGTCTGGTACCTGTGTGTATAATGGGGTGTTGCCTAGGACTCCTTCGAAATTAATTAAAACTTAAGGTTTAGAAGAGGCATTTAGGGAGTGTAATTTGGGACTGCGAATTCATGGCAGGGTCAATTTGGAATCAAAGGGTCAAGACAAGGAAGCGTTATGTGTACTCTCCTAGCAGAGTGGGAAGAGGATTGATTTTAGTTCATCCTTTACTCAAGGTGTAATCTGTGGGCTCTCACCTGCTAGATTCCCCAGCCAGCGGGCCTGGGATTTGTCATTTTTCCTTCAGTTTTAGAGGGCTGAAGAAACTGATACTCCTGCTTTGGGAAAAGCCCTCAAAGTGGAAGTCGGCATCCGTGCACGGCTCAGCTCTCAGGACTTTGCCTACACACAGGTACTGTATTGCTGACTCTCCTGCCAGCTCGTGGATAGACTTACAAATATGTTTTTAGCTGTTTTCAGTAAGAGGCTCAGCCTAGACCCCCAGTTAGGTCTCTAGTCCCTCAGTGGAAACCCTTCTTTGATCAATATTTATTGTGTCTTAAGACGCTACTTGAGGACCCAGGAGCATGTGGTCACATACCTCTCACCCTCTCTTCTCTGCTTACTGGGATCAGAAATACCTCTTACCAAGTCATCATCGACAGTTTCTTGGCTGGCAGGCTCAGAGGCCCCAAATGATGCTCACATTTTGTTTTAAAACATCTGCACGTCCAGACTTTGCTTGAATACTTCTGTTGACAAAGTGCTCACTCTCCTGGCACTCCCTGTCCCATTTGAGCACTGTGTTAGAAAGTTCTGCCTTATATGCCTCATGTTACCTAATACATCAAGCCATGTAGGGGACTAACGGAGAATAGCATGTGTCCTGTTAAGGGTCCCAGGAGGAGAATGGAATTTCAGGCACATGGCACAGGGTATTTCAGGCATAGGCCATGTGGATGGAATTAACGGAGGGCTAGCAGAAGGGACCCAGTATTTATTGAAAACTTGCTATCATGTGCTAAGAAAATATAGGAGATTAAATCAAACAAGCTAGTATGAAAGTGCCCATGAAATAAATATTTTTTATCTCTATTTACTCAGATTAAAAGAAAAATCAAGGCTTAATTTAAGTACCTCGTCCAAGGTCAAGGTTGACAAGTGGCTGAGCTGGAATTCAGCTTCTCAGACATCTTCCTCTGAATGCTTGCCTTCCTTGTGAATTTCAGATGACAGAGCATGATGGCTGCATGATTATAGGGTCACTGCAGGCCTGTCCTGCCCTAAGGGACCAAGGATCAGAAGGGCAAAACCAACACGCTCAGCTAGTGAAGTGAAGTGGACATGGTCTATTCCTGGCTTACCGCCCCTCTGGCCTTCAGGAGGTTTCTGAATGCACCAGGGCCCTAGAAAAGTAGCAACTGCCAGACTATTGCAGGGTATCCAGCAGCACGGAGCCCTGGAAGAGCCTGGAGGATGCTGCACTGCCTGAGACACTTGCCCCAGGTCCTCCATCTCAGCCACTGTCCACGAACACAGCTCCATGGCCAGAACAACCCAGCCACAGAAATGCCAGCAAACAACACCTCTGGCTGCCCACGTCCCACAGTGAAGCACCAAACACTTGGAGCACACACAGGGCCTGACTCCAGGTCACCTTCTCCACTAGGACAGAGAGGGTGGCCTGGGGGTGGGGAACGGGCTGAGGCGGGCAGTGCCAGGCTGTATTCGGGTCATTTTCCAAGAGGCCTGCGTTATTTCTAACACCCCCTCCTCCAAGAAGACAACTTTGCCTCCTGCCCCTTGAGAGTCTTCCTTCTGGTGGCATCCACATTTTCTCTAGTAACTGCTACGGGTATTTTTTGTATTTTGGGAAATTAAAAAATATAGAAAACTGCCAAAAAGAATTACAGTCACCAGTATGCTTAGCACTCAGAATCAAATACTGCCAGAGTTCTCCATATTGGCTCTTCTGGGCTTCTGCGTGCGTCTACGGCTACATCTGTACCTGCAGCTCTGTGTGTACCTGTATCTTGCACCTATTGTGCTTTTGAAAAGAAAGCACGTTCCTAAAGTCCTTGTGACCACCACCCCCATTCTGAGATCAGATGAGATGTCAACTGCAACCCGAGATGAGATCACTATTCTACAGGGGATGTGTATCCTTTCTGTCTTTTAAACATGTTGTTATAGATGCGTTCTGAGGCATAGACAATGTATGATTTGGGGGGACTGTCTACACAAGTGTGGTTGGGCTGCGTTCATCATCCTGGAACGTGTTTCATTCAGTGACATATTTTTGGGCTCTGTTGAGGTTGACAGACATGGACATTGTTTGTTCCATTCAGAAACAGCCCAAGTGGCCAGGCCCCCCGGCTGCGCTGCTGCGTCCTGAAGGGAAGGGCTGGAGAGAGCGCCCCGGGGTCCGCACCCACTACTGCAGCCAGACCTTCTCAGGCTGCCTTCCCTGGAGCTTTGAACAGACGCTGAATGAGCTCCAGGGACCAAGGGCCACCGGGCACCTGCCCCCACATGCCCCCAGCCCATATCACATCACAGCATGCTCCCATCCCTCACTGAGTGACAACAGGAGGTCACAGACGGAGCAAAAAACCTGTTCCTCAGGCCAGAGGCCACAGGGTGACTTTGCTTACAGCCAGGGAGGTTTAGGCCTGGAGTTTCAGGTCGTCAGGAAGCTTCCTCAGCCCCACAGTTCTCCTGATGCCAACATGACTCTCCCCCATGGGGGGTCAGAGCAGCCCCTTCCTGGTTCTGCCTGTTTTGCAGAGTGGCCTCGGCGAAGCCCCAGCCCTCTTCTCTGTCCCCCAATACTCCCTGAGGCTTTCAGTGCCCAAGGGGTGCCTGACAAGCCTGGTATCTGCTGGGGACCAAGGGCTGTTGATCCTCCCTGGGAACAGAGGAGCCAAGGATGAACACAGCCAGGAGCCTGCCCCCAGGCCAGGACTCTTGGGGGTGGTGTAGACACACCCCAGCTCTGGCCCTCGAGGGAGATGTAAGCCACGTGCTTTCCCTTTCCTGTTCTCCCTGAGGAACACAAGGCCAGGTGCCTACTGTTGTCAGTGGCTCAGGCTCAGTCACACTCTGCCACTAGTGATCTCCCTCCCCTGTGGGGCTCCCCTCCACCTCCCACACAAGCTGCTGCTGCCCAGATTCCTGTCTCGGGGTTTGCTCATGCGGGAACTCTAACTCAGGCCCCGTCCCTTCCTGGGTCCAGCCTCTGCTGGGAAGCCAGCCACCTGAGTTGGGGGCTGACGGGCTGGGTGGGGGCCCTGAACCGTACTGGGCCAGCAGATGCAGGAAGGCAGGGAGGAGGAGGCAGGCCATTTATTGAAGAACTGCTTGCAGACATGGACACACATAGCCACTGTACCCAGAGCCCACCCTGGGGCACCCAGAAACAGCCCTGGGCTTTGGAGCAGCCAGCCCAGGCCTGGACATTTGCCTACCATGGTGGAAGGCCCCTCTTGGTGTCAACCATCCACGACCACCTACAGCACCATCTCTCCTGCCAAGGTGCCATGGGCTCTCCAGGAAGAGAACCAGCCTTGGGGGATTCCAAGGCCCAGGGAGGGAGGGAAGCTGCCCACACCCTTAGGACATGCCCAGCCTCATGCTCACCGTTTCTTTCTACGGCCAAAGGGAGGTGGCTGGATGAGGGAGGTCCCTCTGCCGGGGTGAGAGCAGCACAGTGCGGCTGGGGCCCCAGGTCACAGGAACGGGTGCAGGGATCCTGGGACCTGGGCTGGATGGGCCCCCGCTCTGGTGTTTACTCCGCACCAGCCTGGGCATGGTCCAGGGAACAGTGTGGGAAGGGGTGTGGCATGGGGTGGGGCTGCCATGTCTGGGGGCTTCTGCGTGGCCCCAGCAAAAGCGCTACAGGAGGAATGTGAGCAGAGGGCTGAGTGGGGGTGGGGCAGGAGGTGGAGACGGGGCTGCAGCAAAGGCCTTGCTCATCGCAGGGGGTGTGGGAGGCCAGGCAGGGTCACCGCTGGGCCTGCAGAAAGAGGGACGGTCATGGGCGGGCTCAGGCCTGCACCTCCAGGGCGCGCACGTGCACGCTGGGCAGGCAGAACCACGAGGGCGGCAGCTCCTTGCTGGTGCTGTCTTCGTGGAACCGGATGTGGAGAAAGAAGTCGCCTGTGTAGAGGAACAGGAGGGCCCCGAGGCAGGCCGACTGGCCAGACGGCTGCACCTGATGGGGAGGAGAAACATGCGTCAGTCTGGTCAGCAGCATGAGGCACCCAAAGCCACCAGGAGCTCCGGGAACCTGCCTGGACATCAGTGCTACGGGGGAAGTGAGGGCCCCCCAGGCCTGGTTCCAGCACCCCCTCCAGCAGGTCACCATGCCTCTCCAAGCCCATTTTTATTTTTGAAAGGAGTCGCCAACATTCCCATTCTTGAATTGTTTGGGGTTTCAGGGGGTCAGGAGTGTGGGAGGATGGGAGAGATCGGGATGAAGGGGAATGGAAGGTCAGCCCTCACTGGAGCCTGACAGCGAGGAGGTGCTGAGAGGCGGCCTGGGAGGGGGCGGAGGGCGTGGGCGGCAGCCTCTGCATGGGGGGGGGGGGCGGCAGGCCCCAGACGGTGATGGTGACAGTGACACCACAGTGATAGCACAGAGGGTCAAATCACGAGCGGCGCTCTGTCTTGGGCCCAGCTCCCGTTCCCGGCACATTTTCCTGCTTCACCAACTCTCAGGGCCTCACTATCCAGGACTCAGAGACAGAGGTGAGCTAGTCTAAGTTCCTGCAGTGAATGGGGCAGCCCCAGTGTGCACACACGTGACCACGAACTGCTGCTGCTGTCGTGGGCTAGACCTATGCTGACCCCAAAGCCCCCCACCTAGGGAAGCGGAACAAGGACCACGAGGCCCTGGGCGCATGGCCGCAGGCTACCAGCCCACCCTGCACACCACCACGCACCGCGTCGAGATAGAAGGTGCTGGAGCCCACGAAGGAGACGGTGTCACGCAGGTCGTAGTTGTGCACGCCGTTCTGGTGGTCCTGGAAGGGGACCACGGTGAGGGCGAAGGGCCCGACGCTGCGTGGGCTCTGGTTGGTCAGCCGCACCTCCAGGCGCACGGGGTCGCCCACCTGGCAGGCCGCCACAGCCTCACGGTCACACAGCTGTCCGTCTACCAGCACATCTGCAAGGGACACGAGACTGTCAGGGGCTGGGCTGGCCTGCATGGCCCAGCTGGCCTCCCCTACCCACTCACTGATTCATTCATTTCTTCCCTCCTTCCCCCTTCAAGGTGGCCACTCACTCCCTGCCAGGCTGGGCACCGGAGACACAGATGTCCTTGAGTACTTCCAACAGTGCCTGACATGCAGGAGGCAGCATGAAGACAGGCTCTTTGTTCTCCCAGCTGGTCTGCTCTGCTGAGCCCAGAAGGTAAGACCAGAGGGACCTGAGCTTGAGTGCTTCTATCTATGGGGCCCGGGGCATGTCTACACCTCCTGAGTCTCAGTTTCCTCTTCTGTAACGGGGAGCTGATGCTAGTGCATCGGCAGTTGTGATGAGCTCACGTCCCTGCTGGGAGGAGCTCAGTCGCAGCACGTACACGTGAGCATTTGAGAGACTTTGTCTTGAGGCCCAGTGCCACTGGGGCAGTGGCTTTCGTCTGGAGCCTTGGTTATCTGTCTGTGCCACATAGCCCAGCACAGGGAGGCTCCCGTCCATCCTCAGTCCTTCTCCCTCCTCTACCTCTGTGCCACCCAGGCCAGGCCTCGGTAAGTGTTTCCTGAACAGTGAACTGAACCAGGCGTGGTCTGGGCCTCTTGTATAAAATGGGGGGAGAAGGAGCAAGCAGTCAGTGTGGCCTTGCTGGTTCCATTAAGGGAAAGACACAATTATGTGCAAATCAGTGAAGGGTGCTTGGCTCATTACCACCCTACTCTTTTTTTTTTTTTCTTTTGCAGAGAACTGTGTGGGCTGCTGGGGCAGGAGAGGACTGGTCTGTGGGCTCCAGGGTGGAGCCACCCTAGCCCGCCTATTAACCCTTCCTAGCCCTGGCTCTGTACAGCCCCTGGGCAAGAGAAAGCTGGTGAAGGCTTGGAGCCAGCTCTCCCTGTGAACGTTGCTGGTGGAATATTTCTTTGCTACTTTCTCTCCCGGAAGAGGAGAAGGACCATGTGGTACTTAGGTGTGACACCAGGGCAGCAGGGGTTGGCAGGGGTTGTAGCCAGAGCCAAGCCCTGTCGGAGCAGGAGGCTGGGCTGCGGCCCCAGCTTTGCCTCTGACTGCCCTTCACCCTGAGAAAGGGCCTTTGCCAACCGGTGCCCCCTCCATCTTATCTGCAAAACTGGGATAATGATCTTGACCTCCCAGGCTGGGGGCAGGGGTGAAGAACAGAGAGGACCCAGCCAGAGGGGGCACTCCCGCCACAGGCTCTCCTGTGTGCCATCATCGCAGAAGGAGGGCAGCGCTCTGGAATGGCAGGCAGCCCCTGTCCTGCTTGCTGCTCTGTCGCTGCTCCTAGGGTGACGAACTATCCCAGTTTGGCCAAGGCCAGCCTGGCTTTAGCCTGCATTGCAGGAAATCCTCAGTGCCAGGTAAACTGGCATGGTAGGTCACGCTACCCCAATGCCTGGCCCCCACAGTGACTGCCAACCAAATTAATGCATTTCTGTGCTTAACAAGCAGCCATTTCCTTCCGTGCTCCACAGCCTCGGCAGTCCCTACGGCTCCAGCATCTCAGATCCAATCACACGGCACCAAATCCCCAGACGCAGGCTCCTTCCCATGACACAGAGGAAAGGCAAACCTTCCCATGACGGGGCAGAGCAGGGGTCTGTTTTTGTCCGAGAGTATTAGGCTTCCTGAATCCAACAGGATCCCCTGGTCCCCTGGTCTCTCCTGGGACCCCAAGGAGCAGCTTCGGAAACTCAGGGGAAACCATCTAATGACTGTGATGACGGCGGTGGCTATGCTCGCAGCTGCCCTGCATTCGGAAGGTTCGACCACACGCAGGGCTGTGTCCGGGCAGGATTCGCGACTGTGCCAGTGGCAATGTCCTACCTCATCCACTGCAGTCAATTTGCTTCTCTGACTCCAAGCCTGAACGAGCTGTGTCCCGTCCTGGGGAATCAGAGGAAGTGGGCTCATTTCTGCAGGGCCCCCCTCTCCGCAGACACCCTGCTGAGCAGGGCTGCCCAGGGCAGCTAAGACCAGAGAACAGAAGCCGGGGCTTCTGTCCATCACGAAATGGCTTCCCCAACTCCAACCAGGAAGGAGCTGGGATAAATAAGGGGAAAAATTCCTCAAAGACAAGCTGTTTTGAAGCGGTTTCTAAGCTGCCGTTGAGGGACGGGAAGGAACCCCCTGTGCAGGTGTGGGTGCTGCTGGGAGCTCAGCGCGGCCCGGGGCCGGCACAGGGGCTGGCTCCACTCCTGGCTTCCCCTGCACCCAGCCTCCATCCGCGCTCCCCAGGCAGGCCCTGGGGGACAGATCGGGCAGCCCAGGTGCCATGCAGCCTGCCAGCTTCAGCTGGGAAGAGTGGGTGTCTCCTGTGGGGCCCATTGCTCCATCACAACAAAGTGAGCCTTAGTCCCGGGACCCCTGTGAGGAAGTAGACAGCTCTGTGACCACAGCAGTCTGACCAGCTAGCCCCCAGGAAGTGAGCAGGGATGCCAGCGCACCTGTCCCCTCCCTCGAGCACGCGTCACCACCCCCAAGAGTGCCTTCCCACAGCCTTCAGGTGGGAGTCATCCGCCCTCCTCCCGGGAGCCCCGAGTCTGGCATCTGGGTGTGTGGGATCCAGTTTCTCATGCTACTCTCCAGGGCTGGCCCCTGTCAGGCTCCCTGCCACCCTCCATTTCCTGGGCCACCAAACCAGCCTCCTCTTGGCAGGCCTGGCTCCACCTGCCCTCTCCCAGGCAGGATTTGCCCAACTGTCTGTCACGGAGCTGTTAGCATCACAGGTGAGACCAGACCATCCTCGGTTTGAGCGACTTCTCTGTGCATTTCCACCTCTCTGAACCTCAGTCTCTTCCCTTTTAGGTCAGGTAGAAGGAGATCATATCAAGTGGGGTTTGCTTAGGGGCAGCTTGATCCTAACCACCATGGCTCCCAGCCTTCCCTGAGGTGGGGAGAATCTGCAGGAGCTACCGGAGAACTCAGATGGGGAAGATTTGCAATTCGATAGCTTCTCCAGGCCCTTCCTCGCCCCCAGGCTAGCTGTGAACACTGATGAAGCTCCATGCAGGCTACAATTGACAGCACGGACACCTCGGGAGCAGGTCTGTCCAGCCTCTCTCGGGCCAGGCACCAGGCAGGCAGTTTCAGCCCACTCTGACCATGACGGAGGCAGACCTGTGGCCTCTGAGGACGTTGGGTCCCCGCAGGCCTTTTTGCCTGGACCTGGAATGTCCTGGCAGGGGGAAGCAGTGGCCTAGGGAGGGGAAGGAGCTCCCATGCCCACAGCAGCTAGAGGAGCGGGGGTCATAGCTGAGAGACAGATGACTAAAGGTGGAAACTTACCCTGCAGAGCTTCCTGAATCCCCAGGTCTTCCTTCCCAACAAAGAGGGTGATGTGGTTGACAAAGCAATGCGCCCTCCACTTGCCCATGTCCCAACCCCGAGAGCCTGTAACTATGTCCCCTCCCATGGCCAAAGGAGCTCAGCTGATGTGATGATCTGAAGGTCCCGGAGATGGGGAGTGTACGTGGGTCATTGGCGTGGGCCCACTGGCATCACAAGAGTCCTTACAAGGCAAGAAAGGAGGTGGGAGAGGGGGACGCTTTGCTGCTGGCTATGAAGACGGGGGAAGCCGCAAGGGTGTAGGCATGTCAGGAGCTGGAGAATGCCAGCCCAGGGCTTCTCCCTGGAGCCTCTGGGAGGACGGAAGTGTAACACCGATCAGACTGTAGCCTCCAGAACCACATGGTGGGGACGTGTGCTGTTTAAGTCATTAACCCTGTGGTGGTGACTTGTGGGAGCAATGGTGAGCCCAACACAGTGGGGGTCTGAGGACACTCACAGAGCCTCCAAGGGGCCCAGGCAGCCTCAGGCCACCAATTCCCAGGCTGCTGGGGAGGCCCAGCTTGGGTGCAGAGCTGGGCCTGGGGCAGGTGCTGCTGGGCAGGGTGTGCAGCTCTTCGAGCCTCGGTTTCCTCATTTGGAATGGTCGCGCCTCCCTCTCAGGGCTGTGGAGCGAGTGTCAGATGCTCTGAGAAGTGCCAGACAGAGCGAGGTGCTCCAGGAATGCCAGCTTCTGCTCACCCCCAGCTTCTGAAACCCAGTGCGCCCCAGGCCAAGATCACATCATTCACGTATTTAACAGACACAAGAGAGGCCTGAGCCGCGGGCCCGTGCTCCTCTGGGCTACCCTGCCATCTCACCCGGGCATCTGACGGGGCCTGACACTCCACTTTCTCCTCCAGCCCCTCTTCCCCATGCCTGCCCGAGTGGAGTGGCTCCACCACCGGCAGCGGCTCAGGCTGGGTCCTCTCCTCCCAGACGCTTTGCCCCAGCCTGGGACATGTTCAGCGTTGTCTGTGCAGTTGACCTCTGTTTGGCCACTCCCCCCTGCCCTGGCTAGCTGCTCCCTCTCCTTTCTGCATGGCCACAGCACTGGTGTGAGATGCTGGTAGGTCGTGTCACTCGCACGCTCCTCCCCTGCCTGGCCCATGGCTTCTGTCTATGCTCAGAATAAAGAAAGTCTTGATGAAATTCTCACCCCACCCTGGTCTCCTCGGCCCTGCAGGCTGCGGCCAGTTTCCTCCCAGAGCCTGTCCCTGGGGCTGCGCCCTCCCTGCCACTGCTCCCAGGCTGTCCCAAACCTCCAGCACATCCTTCCTGTCCCAAAGCCTCTGCACCTGCCGTCCTCGCCACCCCAGCAGCTCTGTCCTGATGGGCAGGCTTTGGCCCTGCCAGAAGCTGTCCCTGGCCACACAGTAAAGGACGTCCTGTCCTCACCAGCCACTCAGCCACATTCTGTCTTTTCTCATAGCCCTAGCATCTGATCTGAAGCGACCTTGTTTATCCATTTGTTTCATTATTAACTACCCGTGTTCCTCCTCGTCGGGAAGCTCCAGGAACATTGGCACTTAGCCGTCTTATTCACCGTGGCGTCCCCAATACCCATTACGGGCAGGCGAATGGCAGACACAAGTTCCATTTCCTATCTGCTGAACAAATAGATGG